ATCTCAAACTACTAATCTAGATAGTTCAGAAGGGCTATAACCTGCTTTTGGTTCTCACAGTTGGGTTTTTTTCTTCCAGTTACTCCTCTAGCAGCCTGGTTGGTAGAGTACTTTAACAAATACTTCCGTTCTATTTAGTTTTTGCTAGTTCTTCTGATAATAATCCTTTACATAGTATCATTAAAGATCTGTATTACCTCTCTATTCAGAACTTGTTGAGCAAATATCCTATCACTGTATCAGCCCTGTGGCTTTCTGCAATTCGAAGACCTATTCATATAACTCATATATTACACAAATGCTTGAGATCTTCCAGTTCTGATGAATTGGTATGACCATAGTTACAGAGTCTTGAGTTTTTCTAGCTATGACAATAGTTACTAAATCTGTTTTTCAAAATTCAATTTTTATTTACAATAGGAATTGAACTTGTACTCAACTACTTGGAGATGTGACAACTTTATCACTTCATTAAGTCGCCATACCTATTTATAATCTAATTTTGTTATTACCAAAAATAAAACCTATTAAAGATTTATAGAAATAAACAAGACCAGCATTTAAATTATCTAATAGGAAAAAACTATTTACAAAATTATTAGATTGTGTTTTTAATGAAACCAAGTATAATGTTGAAACTTTAATTAATAAATATTGTCGAATTTGGAGCAAGAATATTAGACCAATTATATTATCACAACCCCAAAACTAGTTTTTTTTGGCATATTCAATTGGCAAAACATGTCAAACCAGAGAAGCTATTGCTAAAAATTTAGAAAAAATAATTATTGAAATTGGATTAATTAAAATTTTAACTATAATTACAGATAATGCTTCTGTGATAAAAAAGGCTTGGTAGTTACTAGAATTAAAATATTCTAGGATTATATTTTTGGGCTATATAGCTTACAGTTTAAATTTTTTTTTTTTTTTTAAATTTTAAGGTGACCACTTGGAGGTCTGGCATGATTTATTAACTTCTCAGTTCAATTATCGAGATACTTAGTAGGCACTTCTTGACTTTGTTACATTAACGAGAGTACAATTGATCATACGTATAACTTTAGTCATTGTCTAATTAAGAGCTTCACTATATCTATTTCTATCTATAGTTACTCACCAATTGCCATACCTAAGATCCGCTTGTGGATTCCTATTTAAACCCTCTGATCGACTTAGCGTTGTCAGATACTTTCTCCGGAAGAGTACTTGCTGCTAAGGCCCCTTAGAACTACTTTATCCTTGTGGTAAATCTACCAGAGTGGTCCATACCACATACATATATCACCTAGATTTTTCAGTACTTACGCCCCAATCTGAGGACTAGAACTTGCGATCTTCTGCATTGCTACCATATCTACTCCTTGCTCTTATAAGGTTCATTCTGATCCCAATACCCACTTCTAACCAGCCCTTATACCGATCTCTCTCCAACTACTAAACCAGTTAGCCTGAAAGGGTTGCTGTATCTAGGCTCTAAGTGCTTTTGGTTTTACTTCTCTTGGTTTTAAATTCTGTAGCATCAGACCTTTTCTTCCAGTGTGACTTCGGTGGCCAGGTTGGTAGACCCTTCTTGCCCCAGGGTTGTTTGTTCGGTTCTTCTGTCTCCAGTTCTGATTTTCTGTAGTATTGTTGAAAATCTTCACTACTTCTAGCTCAGGTCTTGCCAAACGGGTTTCAAATATTCTGGTTCCTTGGATTTAGATCGCTCTAAAGCTTCTATAACAAGATAGTGGTACCAAGGTTACAGGTGATATACCTAACCAATCGTTGAATAAATATTACCAGAACACAGACCTATTTTTTGAAAAACGTCTCTGGTGAAAATCGAACTCTAGACCTGCTGCTTGGGGATGACAACTTAACCACTACTCTATGTCACCACACCCTTATAGTTTAAATTTTTTGATTAGTAATATTATAAAGATATCATGGTGTTTTAATATTTTAAAAAATGCTTATACAATTGTTTTATATTTTTATTTATACTAGATTTTAATAATGATTTTAAAATGTTACCAATTAGCAACATATCAGTGGTGAATATCATTAAAATATTCTGTTAAGACAAGATGGGAATCTTCGACAACATGTCTTAATTCAGTTTTACAAAATAAGTTTAGCTATTACAGAAATAGTATACAATAATTGTAATAAATTGCTAAAATCAATTAACAGAATCATTGAAGATAAAATTTTTTGAAAAAATATTAAGAAATTTTTTTTAATATTGGATAAATTTATTGCTAGTATTTTATTATTCAAATCTAATATACCATTGCTAGTATTATTTTATTTCTAATATCATAAACAACTAGAGTCTTATAGTAAATAATAGTAAAATTAATAGCTTTAGCTATTTTTTATATTAATACAAAATTACTTTTTCTAATAGTAAATGATAAAATTAAAAATATTTTGCAAAATAGATAAAAAAAATATACCACCTAGTTATATTAGTTGTATATCTTTTGGTTCTACAATATTACAAACAAAAACTTCTAACAAACAGTATATCAGTAATATTACAATTTATTTAACGATATTATCCAGATAATACAAAAATAATTTGGCAGCAATTAACTGAATATAAAACCAAAACTGGAGTATTTAATATTTAATTAGCATGGAAAACTGTTGGTAAAGTTAATTCAATTGAATAGTGAAAACTCAATTTTGAGAATTCAGTTTCCAAATTATGTAAAGTTGCAATTAAAATACTTTCAATCTCTTCTTCATTAGCAGCCTCTAAACAAAATTGGTCGGCTTTTTCTTATATTCATAATAAGAAAAGAGCATAATTAACTAATAAATATATGTTAAAGTTGGTTTATATTTATAGTAATTACAAACTTAACTGTTTACGAAAAGAATTTCCTGATATATTAAAAACTAAAGCATGATTTAATAGTAGATTACAACAAAACTTAGATCAAAATAGTAATATTGTTTTATTAGATCTATCAGTTAATAATTTAGGTAAAGAAAATATATCAATAGATAGTGAAAATAGAAATTTTAACAGGATTGATAGTGAAGAAATTGATAGTAAAGAAATTAATAATAAAACAGATAGCAAAGAGATATATAGTAAAGGAATAGAAAGTGAAAATAAATAAATAAATATATAAATTGTGTATTTAATGCTTATTTTATATAACAATATAATAAATAAATATGTACTGCTACTATAATTGTTTTTTATAATAATAAAAGATTGCTTAATTGTTACATCACTCAGCATGTAAATCTAACTATTCACACCATATATACTATGCAGATCACATGCACTATGCAATATAATATATTCTGAAATATACATGATACTTATCTCTATATATATATCATATATTATTATAATTAGCAATAGTAAGCTTTAATTTTAATTGACTAATTTAATAATTAACCAATTATATAATAGTATTATATTATATATTAAGAATATATTTTTTGGTTAAAAGATATGTTCTATAGGGTATGTCTTTAACTCTATACTTCTAACTTACTTATTTTTTAAAAGTTTGTATAAGAAACTGCTTTTTTATATACTAATTAAAAGTTTTTTGAACAGTTTTATTATATAATTGTTTAAATTTAAATCCTAATATAAAGACTTACTCAAACTTTAAATAAACTTAAAGAATTTTTTATTAGTTATATGGAGTAAATTTTGATAACAAATTATATATATAGCAAATAATAAATTATACAAGTTTTTTGTTTAAATTATGCTCATATTATGTACTATTTTGAAAATTATATAAAATATACAAAAATATTTTTATTAAAAATTGAAACTAAAATCAAAAAAATTAATTATTTTTAATTATAAGATTATAAAAACTTAATAAATTAGTTTTTATAACCCAGCTAGATTAAATTTTACAAATTTTTTAAAATTTTTTTTAATTATATTTACTATCTAGATAAAATTTTTTTTAGAAATTAACAAAAATTTTTACATACTTGTTATATATAAAATTTTTTAAAAATAAAATTAAAAATCAGATTACTAGGTTATTTTTTAAATTTTATATTATAAGAATCAAAAAATTAACTTTGTATAGTCTAATATTTTATATTTATAAAAATTATCAATTATTTTATTTATATTAAAGACATATTAAATATATAGTTCTAATTCTTAAATATATATGTCATATGTTGGAACAGAATTATTGTAGATTTAGAATCCATCTAGGTTGAAATAGAATTCCAAATGTAGTCTAAGTTGATATAAAATTTAGATTCCACCTAAAATTGATTCTAAACTGATCGATGCATAATAAATATGTAATTGATTAATACATAGATGATAGTTTATGATAGTTTATGATAGTTATGATGGTTAACATTACATATAATAAAGAAATAAATTATGCAAATTTTCTATAAATATTTAAAAAATTTAAAAAATTTTTTTTATTCATTTTAAAATTCTTTTTCTTTGATGGCCAAATCTCAGAATTATCTATTTTTATCTTGTGATATATTCGAAGAGTTGCTCAGAAAATTTTTTGATACCAGATCCATTAATAGACGACGTAAAACTTTTATTATATGTAAAGATTTCGATTTTTGTATTAGCGTTTTACAGAACTCTGCAAATACCAAGATCAGAAATGCAAAAGATCATTTCTAGACCAAAAAGATATTTGCTTTATGTGACCTTAGAACATCCACTAATCTCATATTGCAACTTATAAAAATTGATTCAAACCTACTTGTATGCCCTGTTGACAAGTTATATGAAATATTGTGCAGTTTATATCAAGGGGTCTTGAAACATGTTAGTTCAACAAAACTCTGAGAAGTGGTATATAATCTACAGATTAATTGATAAGGTTATTAATTTGTAAGATTATAAAATATAATATTAAATTTTTTTTTTTTTTTTTTTACAGATTTCAGAACAATATTGCTATATTCTGCAATCCTTCATTAAAGAATTTGTAAAAAATTGCACAACATATGCAACACGAAGAAATTTTTCTAATCCAATGGCTGGAAAGCCGATAATTTCTTGTGCTTTTCTCAATAGGGTTCAGGTCGACTTGATTTGTATGACTAGTATTTCTGATAGCAATTACCATTATATTTGTTATATACGTGATCACTTTACCTGATATTCTTGGGTCTGGGCTTTAACAAGTAAGCAACCAATTGAGGTTGCTGTATTTCTTTTCGATATTTTCATTTGTTTTGGTGCTCCAATCATTCTTCAAAGTAATAATGGCCGTGAGTTCACAGCAGAAATAATCAAAGAATTATTAACTATTTGGCCTAACATTCATATAATTAATGGCCATCTGAGATATCCACAAAGCCAAAGGCTTGTAGAACGTACAAATGATGTTCTTTAGCAAAAAGTATCCAAGTGGATGGAAGATACTGGAAGGAAAGATTGGTCTCGAGCAGTGCCTTTATACTGTTGTAAATATTAATTTTTGATTTTTTGTTTATTTAAATTTTAATTTGAATTTTTTTGAACCTAGGGATAACAAATTGCTAGAAACATCACATGACGCACTTTATTACTATCAATTTTAATTTAATATTTTTAATACCGATACGTAGATGCAATAAATATCCAAACATCTAGACAAACTAAAAATAGTTTATATGCATTAGTATTTGGACAAAACCCTTTATGCCATTTTACTATATTAAAAGAAATCAAAAATCAATATATTAATTCAGAAGATGAATTATCTAAGAACTGGTTTGAACCATCCGAGCCTCGAGATAATTTTGATCGGCAAGAAGTCGTAGAGTCACTTTTAGGAGCTGCAGCATTAAATATCGAAGTAGTTTTTTTTTTTTTTTTATAAAATATAATTATTATTGATTTATTTTAATTTAATTCTTTTAAGAACAGCAATTGCTTGAGTATTATTTGAAGAATAAATTGGAGAATGAATTGGACGATGAGATAATGAACGCAATATTGGATGATATGAATGATAAAATGTTGGATAATATGACAGATGAAAGGTTAGACAAACGATTAAATAAAAGAATAAATAAAAAGCTAGGTGAGAAGTTGAACGAAATGGTAACTGAAAAAGAAATGCAGCGATAAATGTAAGTATTTAATATTATTATTTTAATAAAAAAAATTTTTTTTTAATAATTAATAAATTATATAAATAGATATCTAATAACGAAAGCATTTTGACCGAAGTATTAGAAGATGAATTAGTTGGTAGAAGTTTACTTGAGGATGAAATAGCTGGTAGAAGTTTATCTGAAAATGAAGCAGTTGGTAAAAGATTATCTGAAAATGTTCTTGACGTTTATCCAAGTAAGAGGTACAAATCTACTATTTTGATGGCTATCAATACAGGTATCAATACTCAGGTAATTACACATTTATTAATTTCGTACATAGTATAAGTTAAATTTATTTTTATTTTGCAGTCCTTTTTAAATAAACCTAGCCCTAAACATACTCAATATAATAGGAAAAATGTTCAAAAAACATCAGCTCATGAAATTTATCGAAGCATTGCTACAAAATTACTCGAATGATATCATGATAACATGAAGTCACAACTTAACAAGCGTAATAAAAAATTTAACAACAAATACAATGTTGGAGATTTAGTGCATATCAAAATTCCCGATATTGATAGAATACACAATAACCGAAAAACACTTCTATGCAAAATTTTCGAAGTATCAGAAAATGACATATATAAACTTGGATACAAATTCAGCATTATTAAAGTTACATATAACGTTAATGAACTTTTTTTTTTGGGTCCTGACAAGTTTCCCGAATTGGATAATATTTCTTCAACGCTTATAAGTGTCTGAGAGGCATCGATTATACAATCTTCTTCACAAATAGGCAATGTTAAATGCAATTGCAAAAATTCATATGACAAAAACCATTGTAAATGTAAAAAAATGAGATTACCATGTAATAGTAGTTGTCATCCTCGTAATTATAAATATAAAAACAATATGTAATACTTTAAAATAAATTGAATTAATTTGCTGATGTATGATAAATAAATATGTATTATCTTAAAGCAACTTAAATTCCAAAACAATATATTCGATGAAATAATTTGGAATCTACTTAATTTTATTGTAAGTTGAATTAGAATTCTTTAACAACCTGGATATATTTTAGAATTCTATTGCAACCTATGTTTATTTAGAATCTACCTAGATGGATTCTAAATCCACAATAATTCCATTCTAACGTATGATATATATATATAGAATTTACAAATAAGGTTACACCAATTTAAAACTATGGGATATTCTATAGAATAGATGGGCAAAATAAGAATTAAGCTTTGCTAATAATTAGTAATCATTAATTTTTTAATATCGGAGTTGCGAAGTTTGCGGAGTTTGCCCACCTATTCTATAGAATATCCAAACTATGTTTAACATAACCTCTTCTTTTTGAGTTTTAGATTTAGGGTAATTAATATAAAAATTATATTAACTATTTAAAAAAATTTTTTAACCAATCAAAATCATATATTTTTTTACCCCTCTTGTTTAGACTTGCAGATTATTTTATTAAAATTATATTAAATATAGAATCAAATTGGAAGGTCTAGAAAGTAAAAATAATTACAAATACGGGCCCAAATTAAAAATAATTACATATAAGGATCTAATTTTTAAAAAATATTATATATAAGGGCCCAAAATAACTGCGATATTATTCAAGCCTTGGCTTGATTGTTATTAGCTTAAGCACTTTGTTGAAACTTCTTTCCTTATAAATAATTATGCTAGTTTAATGCTATTTTTATACAATATTTAAGCAAAAATAATTATAACCAGTGCTTCATTTATCCTTTTGTCTAATAATCGGTATATAAATACCTATAATATAACAATTGGTAATACTATAATTCGCGATTTTGCAATCGTTATAAGTTAAATTGTTACAGTACTTTATGGCGCAATAATCTAATGATCATGTTTTTTCAGCTATCAATAGATCTGGACCCTTATATGTAATATTTTTTAAAAATTAAGTTCTTATATGTAATTATTTTTAATTTGGGCCCGTATTTGTAATTATTTTCACTTTCCGGACCTTTATTTGTAAATTCCCCAATATATATACATTATAATCCAAAATTGTAATGTTTCTTTTTTACACTATTTAAAATAATTAACATATTCATAATCAATGACATTGTTAAGGATTTTTATTTTGTATATATGTATACATATACAATTCAGGCTGCTTAAAATTAATATAACTAATGCCAATTTCGAACTCAGGTATAAAAGAATTTTAATACTTATAACGGAATATAAAGATTTATTGGATGCTACACATCCAATATATGTGTATGCGACATGGGTTGAATTATGCGCATATCACCTTACTCCAAGGTTAGTAGTTTTAGCAATATCACGTGAATTTGGCTGTCCGCGACTGGGAATGATTTATACAACAAAATTTTCAAATCATGTGATTTAGGCCGCGCAAAGTTAATTTTTCGTTTTGCATAACATGGAATCAGAAAAATTGGGTCGGTCGGTCGGATTATATTTTTTTTTAATCTATTGTAAATTAATAGACTCATGTTCATATCTAAGGCTATACAACGTTAATTTTTTCGGTTGCATAGCATGGAATCAGAAAATTGGGTCAGCACTGAGATTTTTTTCTATCGGTCCTATCGGAAAATTCCGGGATACAAGGTCTGCCGGGCGATATCGGATAAAATTGATAGCATAATTGGGACTTTTTAAAAAAAAAAATTTTTTTCGAAAAAATGGGTCGATGGGTTATGCAAAACGAAAAATTAACTTTGCGTGACCTTACATTATTCATATATTCAAAAAATAAAATATACTTTTACTATTTTTTATGAAAATTTCATTAATAAGCATCGTGTAATTGTATCGCGATTATTAATCACATGATCTGAAATTTTTTTGGGTAACCCCGGATAGATTAATACCTACACAGCAGGCACATAACTAATTCTGCCCATACCCCAATGCTAACCTAACTCTAATGCCGGCCATGCTGTGTCGATTAGCTTAATGCTGGCCATTTTGCTATGAAATAGTCACGTGCTTGCTGATTTCAGTAAACAAAGTTATTTTTATAAAAGTAATAAAAATAATAACTAATATAAAAACGTTTTTTTTTGTTAGATATTTTTATTTTAAACAATGATCTTTTAATTGCATATGCAGTAAAAAATTGGTTCACTGATATAAATTTATTACGTACGTAGTACGTAGCTATCGA